CTTGGCAACTTTTAAGATATGTTGATGTCAACTTCCAGAAATCAGAATTCTGGGAGTTCGAGTCCATGAAGTTGCCAAGGTTGAACAACACTTGCCCTAAGGTTCCTTCGGTTTGTCTGGGTCATTTTTTCCAAATTCCCCCGACATCTGGGCTGACTCTGCCAAGGGTCTCCTGAATATCTCTTGGCTGAATCTTCTCGATCAACACTTGTTCTCTGGGACAAAAACGAAGCAGAAGCATAAGAGGAGGAAGATCTATCCGTCTCGTCTGATCCCCGAGGACTTGAGAACAGCTTCTGTTGTGTCTGAGGCGAGCTTGGAGATCTGACTGAAAAACCCCAGAGATAACCCATGCTCTGTTCAATCTCCATGAAGAAATGTCTACGGAGATTCTCAGTCAATCCAGGTCATGGTTGTCCCAAAGATGCTGGACTTTCTTTTGTTTTTCTTTGAAGACCTTTCGCTTCCCATCCATCAGCTCTGAATGGATGGTGGAGAATGGAAGGATTGATATTCCTTGCAGGCAGCTGGTCATTTGCCTTCTTTTGGAGAGTCGTTGAGGCCACTTGGAGGTTTTCTGTCCCCTCAGGGTCCCCCCTGAGTGGTGCAAATGGGTGTGGAGCCTTCTTGGAACTGCTGAAAGAACGTTCTCTGCCCTATTCCTGCAGTCTGCAATGTTTTCTGGAAATCCATTCACAGTCCCGCACCCTTCAAAGGGTGTTCATCCCAAAGTGCATAGCTAATTGTCTATGGAGGTTCTTACTCATCCAGATCATGGTTGTCCCAAAGGTGTTTTTTCGGAAGGCAACTGGACTTTCTTGTTTTTCTTTGAAAACCGTCGCAAGGAATATAAACCTTTCCATTCCCCACCACCCAGTCAGAGCTGAAGAAGCTTCCTGGATGAGAAGCGAAAGATCTTCAAAGAAAAACAAGAAAGTCCAGTTGCCTCCTGAAAAAAGCACTTATGGGGACTCCATGGAGAAAACAGCTCTCAAAAACTCAACTAGTGTTAATCCATCACACAGGTTCCCACCAGTTCAGAAAGCAGGGGGTGATGGTCTCCTCAGCATCCCATCTCTTATTCAACATATACCCCTTGAGTAATACTGAGTTAATTCATGTATCTCCAGTCTTTCCTTTGGGAACTCAAGGTGGCGTTATGTGCCTTGCAATAAAGATCTTGAGAAGTAGGTTAGGCTGAGAAGAAAGACATAGGTAGGGCCAAAGTCTACCAACAAACTTCCACAGCTACAAAGAACTCAGATCTGGTACCCAGTCCAAGCTTTCCGCCATTAAACCACCCCAGCTCTCTTGACTGTTTAGAACAGGGGTCTTCAAACTTGGCCCTTTTATGATTTGTGGACTTCAACTCCCAGGCACGATGGTTGAGGAATTCTGGGAGTTGTAGTCCACAAGTCATAAAAGGGCCAAGTATGAAGACCCCTGGTTTAGAAGAACCCAACGGATGGCCTTCAGAACTGAGTGATGCCAGCGAGAACCATTCTCCAACATCTCTTTTGGGGAACACAAGCTGTTGGCGGAGGCTTGGTTTCAAAGTTCAGGATCAATAAAACACAACTCAGCTACCGTATTTCCCTGAAAAATAAGCCCCAGCATGATTTTTCAGGATGCTCCTAATATAAGCCCCACCCCCAAAATGAGCCCCAATTAAGATCGTCAGCCAAATGGATGCATTTCGGACATCCGTTGCAACACACGACGGACGTATTGAATCATAAAAACAATAATATTAACGTACAATTAAATATAAATAAATAGTATTATTGACATTGTTTATTTGAATAAATGTAGATCATTGTACGTGAAAATATAAGACATCCCCTGAAAACAGACCCTAATGTGTGTCTTTTGGAGCAAGAATCAATACAAGACCCGGGAAAATACGGTAGCGTACCACACCAACATCTTTCCTATCTTGAAGAGAACTTAGGACAGTGATGGTGAACCTTTTAGAGACCGAGTGCCCCAAAACAGGCCCCGCCACCACCCTGCCCGCTCCGCCCCCATCTCGCCCCATCCCGCTCCCCGCCCACTGCCCCACCTGCTCACAGGGCCACCCACCAGCTCCACAGATTGCCCAGGCGGCCCAGCAGCTCCATGGCAGCCACGCCCTCTGCTTGCGCCCTGCGGAATCGACTGCACGCAACGGGACACAAGGGCAGAGTCTTGTCCCCGCTGCCCGGCTGCCATGTTCTTGGCTGCGCTGCTCCGCATGGGCCACACTCGGGGGCTACTCTCCTCTGGGGGGGCTGTTGTGAGGTGGGGCCACGGGGAGAGGCGGGGTGGGACGACGGCGCGCATGCCCACAGAGAGGGCTCTGGGTGCCACCTCTGGCACGCGTGCCGCAGGTTCCCCACCACTGACTTAGGAGATGCAATTAAAAGAAAAACCCAAAGACGTAACTTCACGGTCAGAAGTCTCTTCCGCAATCTTCTCATCTAGCTCGGCTTACATCTAAAAGCTATCCTTTCGTCTGAGAAACAGCCGTTATGGGACGGGCTTCCCAATGGCCTGGCTTCGACCCTGCGGTGAAGATATAAAGATGCAACGGATGGAAAAAATGCTAATTTGGAGGGAGAGCGTCCTTGCAGAGGGACGCTCAGCCCACAGGACTCATGATTTGCAAGAGCGTGAAGGAGCATCTTGGGGCATCGCAGATTGAGATCTAGCACTTGCTCACCACCCCCCTCGGCTTTCTGCCGAATGACGCAGTCTGAGCTAACAGAAAGACACCAAACGAACTCTGCAGACTCTGCAGCTAATCCTGGTGCGCCCCGGGGGCAGAAAGGACGTGCACGTTGACCTTAAACTCTGATTATCCTAGCCTGTAAACCAGCTTTCCTTTGTAGACTAGCAGTGTAGACATCCAGTTCACAGCGGAAGGCCGCAGGTCTGGAGGGAAAAATACTACTCTGTGAGTGAAGCCTCCTTCTAAGCTGAAGACCAGGGGGAATATCTTATGCCCCTTTGCGAGATCAGCCCAGATTGAAAAAGCCTGGATTAAACCATGTTCTGTTTTCAAAAAGCGTGAAGAACCATGGCTTGGGGTTGACTTGTTTACTTTCTAATAGAAGCAAGCATTTGTTGTTCAGGGTTGAACTGTGGAGTCCAGCAACCTCCGAGCTTGGTTGCTGGCTTGCAACCAATTACGGTTTACAATCGTTCGCTTAGTGACCGTCCAAATTTACAACAGCACTGAAAAATGTGACTTTATGACTGTTTTTCACACTTAAGACCGTCGCAGCATCCCCGTGGTCACGTGATCAAAATTTAGATGCTCGGCAACAGACTCCTATTTATGATTTTTGCTGTGCCCCGGGGTCACGTGATCCCCTTTTGCGTCCTTCGGACAAACAATGTCAACAGGGAAGCCGGATTCACTTAACAACCACGTTACTAAAGTAACAATTGCCATGATTCACTTAATAACGGTTGCAAGAAAGGTCATAACACGGGGCAAAATTCACAGCACCACTGTCTCGCTTAGCAAAAGAAATTTTGGGGTCGGTTCTGCTCGTACGTCGAGGACTACCTGGTTCCCAACTAGGGGACATTATTTGTCTTGTGTCGTTGAGGTTACCTAGTGGTTATGCAACCGCTGAGCTCAGAGAGCACCAAGGACTCCACAAACCACATCCTAAGGCATTCGGGCGAGACCGATGCAAAATTAAACCACGGTGAATGGGTGACCAAGGTCTGCCTAGTTTACAGACAGTATAAAAAACTAGCTAGCTTCAGAAAAACTGAATCGTACTGACCTGACAATAAAAAATACACTGACTATAGTCTAATGCTGGATAAACACACGTAATAAAATCGATTATTAAAAGATTATTAAAGAGATCTAAAATGATTATTTATGTTTCTGGCGAATCCCCAGTGCTGCTGCGCAGAATCTAGCCACCTGTGTCGTGATCACCACGTGCTCATCCTTAAGCAGCCACTGGAGATAAATACTTTCCGAACGGCCAGGATACCTATCCATTATGGGGAGGATATGGTTTTTCCGGATGGCTCTGCAGAAGGAACACCGCGAAGGTGTCCAATGGTCTCCACCTCTCCTGAGTCACAGGAGCAGAGTGTTTCAGCCAATGGTGTCTTTTTATACTTGCCGTACAGGACGGCCGATGGAAATGCATGGCACCGTGCAAGCAAGAATGCTTTCCGGTGGTTTACTGACTCCAACTGACTAAGATACCTGGTAACCACAGTGAATGTAAACCTAGGTGCAGATGCTCCTTACTTCAACCTTTAGGGCAGACATATCAAACACAAGGCCCGGGGGGGCGGATGCGGCCCGCGAAGTGGTTTCATGTGGCCCGCGAAGCCATCCTGGAAACAGTGAGGGAACGGCCTCCGCTGCCTTGGCCCTGGCCCAGGCCGGCCGGGAGCCAATGTACAATTTTGTGGTGGCCATCTATGCTGAAACGCCTTCAGTCTTAGCTCCATAAGCCCCCCCCCCCCGCATGGCCTGAGAGGAACAGTGAGGCTCCTCCAGTGGACCATGCCTTGGCACTTGCCCCGGCCCCACCTCCTTCTGCCAGAGACCCTCAGATCTGTCCCACTCCTGCCCAGGCCCCCGAAGGCACCCTTGACGTGAACGGTGTAGAGCTGGCCACGCCCACCCAGTAGGCCACACCCACTCCATCCACGCCCACCCAGTAGGCCGCACCCACCCTGGCCACACACACCCGGCCCCCTGAGGGCAACCGCAATGCTGATGCGGCCCTCAATGAAATTGAGTTTGACACCCCTGATTTAGGGAGCGCTAGAAGATAGGGGTGAGGTTGCTAGGAGCTCAGAAATGCTCTCAACTAAGTAATGGCTGCCTCAAACATCTGAAGGAGTTCCCCATCACGCCTGAAACCTTGCACTGCCTTTCATCCGAGACACGGACCCACCGAATACTCCCTGGGGAGGCTTCCCTACCCACGGGGCACCAAGCGGCGGGATTCCCGTCTAAGTAAGCTTCAACTCACCATCGTAAGTCAGGATGTGTCCTTTCTTCCCCTCGTAAATGACGTGTCCCTTGGGCAAAGCCTCCTCTCTTCCTTTCTCCGCTCTGCTGGGGCTGTCTTCTCCAATTACCTTGGTAATGGTTCCTTTGTACAGCACTTCAGCTGGGGTGCCCTTGGAAAGAGACCAAGAGCATTATTGAACCGCGTCACGAGCAATTAAGGCAGAAAAGAAGCAAAGCAGAATTGCACGCGGGCGTAACGCAGGCCCAGGCAGACCAGCACTGTACTCCAAGAAACAGACCCCCAACAAAGGAGAGCAATCTTGAGCAAATATCAGCTGGGAACTCTGCTTCCTGTCACACGCGACAGACAGAAGACGACAGTCGACTTGATCAGAACCACCAGGACGGTGAGATCAGTTTTGGGGCAGACGTTATGTTTTGTTTTAACGTTAGGAGGTCACAGGAAGAGCAGACAGTGACAATATCGGATTCTGCAGAACAAGGACCCAGAGATGGGAGACCTGTGAAGTAAGAGGGTGAAGCTGAAATGAAGGCAGGTGTATTCGCACACGTGTCCAAACACATCCTGCATCTATCTCCCTTTCAACGCCCTCGGTTCTCTTCCTGCATCGCCGTTTATTCCTCTCTACAAACGTTCCAGCTAGTAAAAAGATTGTTTTCCTTTCCTTTAGCCCTTGTGGGATGACACCTGGAAATTTCTCTGCTTTAAAACAGGTTCTCCTTTGTTTGAAGGATCAGCTTGAGTCTACCTCTCGGAAGCTCAACCAACATCTAGTCACAGAAAGGACTTCTTCTGACTTAGATCCCTGCCCTACTCAAACCCATAGCCAACCTTGGGTGCCAAAATTCACTCGCTAAGAATCAGAGGGGGATAAATGATACTCTAATGTTTTGCAGGGGATCAGATCTGGATTCTTTTGCACGCCGAGCACACGCCTTGCCACCGAGCAACATTTCACTTTCCCCAAATGACTGGGTGGGGCCCCTAAGCTTTAGGCTGCATCCATCTGCAGGACCAGACTTGACAAACACATGACAAGCTGGTTGGTGGCGCCGCCGCCAGAGATAAGAAGTAATATGCTTAAAGATAAGAGAGCCTGCGTCTAAATGTTCACAAGCGTGCTCAGTCCACTACCTAACCTGTCTTGTGGCTGACTCACACTCAGGAATACTGAAAAAGATGTTGCTTTTTGCAGTCCTAGCACCTATTTAGGATGATGCTACAGCTCTCATTGGTTGACTTCTGGCAATTGATGCCCTAGGTCAGGGCCCCCCAACCCCTGGTCCGTGGACCGGTACCGGGCCACGGCATGCCAGCAACTGGGACGCACAAACAAGCAAAGCCCCATCTGCAGGATGCAGGCAGCACACAAAACCACGCACTCTTCGGTCCATAGAAAAACTTCTCTCCACGGAACCGGTCCCTGGTGCCCAAAAGGTTGGGGACCTCTGCCCCAGGTCAGTGGCTCTCAACCTGTGGTCCGTGGACCACTGGGTGGCCGTGAGGTTATCACAAGGGGTCTGCGAATATTTGATGCAATCTAGTGCTTTAAATCTTGAGTTAGGTCTTGGTGGGTGCTTCATCACTGGAGGTTTTTAAGAAGAGACTGGACAGCCACTTGTCTGAAATCATACAGGGTCTCCTGCTTGAGCAGGGGGCTGGACTAGAAGACCTCCAAGGTCCCTTCCAGCTCTATTCTGATTGATTGGTCTGTGGCCACAAAAGGTATTTAAAGAGGTCCATGGTGAACACCTTAGAGGCCCTAGGTCAGGGGTAGGCAACCTTGGCTCTTTTATGACTCGGGGACTTCAACTCCCAGAATTCCTGAGCCAGCATGGCTCAGCTTGGAAACCTCTCCCTTTCCCCTCAGCGTGGCTGGCTCAGGAATTCTGGGAGTTGAAGTCCACGAGTCATAAAAGAGCCAAGGTTGCCCACCCCTGGTATAGGGTCTCCTGCTTGAGCAGGGGGCTGGACTAGAAGACCTCCAAGGTCCCTTCCAGCTCTATTCTGATTGACTGATTGGTCTGTGGCCACAAAAGGTATTTAAAGAGATTCAGGGTGAAGATTGAGAAGCACTGCCCTAGGTGAATCGTGCCATCAATATCACTCTAGAATTTAAATGCGTTCAGAGTAGGTGGAGATTATGCCTGTGTCTTCACCATGTCTGCACATGTTCTGTAGCAGCCAAGGTGGAGAAATTTAATCACCACATCCTACTACAAATCTCCTAAGGGCAGTGACTGAACTACTAGGGCATAGATCTGGGGTGTTAGTAAGGTAATTGCTTGGATGTTCTTAGGAGCAACAGAGGTCCAGAGACGGTGGACAGAACCCAATCCAGCCCGAGACTAAGACCAGGCAGTCCTCATTTAATGGCGGCCTCCTTTAGCGACCACTCACAGTTACAACATTAATAAAGTAACTCTGCAATCAATCGTTGCATTTACAACGTTTGCAGGCCCGTAAAGAGAAGGAAAGCTGAAGCAGGATCATAATCACAGTTGTGGTTTCCTTTAGCAATTGCTTCACTTAATGACTGAGTTACCGGTCTCAACTGTGGTCACTAAAACGAGGATGTCCTACGCAAATTACAAGAGCAATAAAATTCCAGAATCTTGGGATCCAACAGACCAGCTCTGAGTCTCCCTGCAACATAAACCAGAGACGCCACATTACAAATATGGCACTTCCAGACATCTCCGTCTCAGCGCCTGAATGCAAGGGATTGGCGTTAAGACACAAAACACAGAGCTGGCCCGGGGATCAGCTTCGGCACACATGCTCACAGGAGAACTGGAAAGAGAACATGATCAGATGGCTTTAGGGAAGGAACCTCTGGAACATCTGTCTTCTGCAGCCTGGATTTGCAAATGGGTACTGCTGCAACACAACAGATCATGAACGGCCTGAAGGCTTTGCAAATGAGACCGTTGGTAATTACCATCAACCAACCCAGCTAGATCACCATGGGTGGCACCACCATATGCATAGATTTCAGGCAAGTCCGTACTTCCCAAAAGCCTGCAAATAAAAGCTTCCTCTAATGAACCATCCCGAGGGAGGGAATAGAGCTGGAAGGGACCTTGGAGGTCTTCTAGTCCAGCCCCCTGCTCAAGCAGGAGAACCTGTACCATCTCAGACAAGTGACTGTCTAATCTCTTCTTAAAAATCTCCAGTGCTGGAACGCCCACGATTTCTGGAGGCAAAACTGTTCCACTGGTTGATTGTCCTCATTGTCAGAAAGTTTCTCCTTAATTCCAGGTTGCTTCTCTCTTGGGTCAGTTTCCAACCATTGTTTCTTGTCCTGCCCTCTGGTGCTTTGGTGAACAACCTGGCCCCCTCTGCCTTGTGGCAGCCCCTCAGATACTGGAACACTGCTATCATGTCTCCCCTATTTCTTCTTTTCTTTAGACTAGCCAAGTCCTGCAGCTGTTCTTTGTATGTTTTAATCTCCAGCCCTTTGATCATCTTAGTTGCTCTTCTCTGAATTTTTTCCAAACTCTCAACATCTTTTTTTGTGATAGGGTGACCAAAAGTGGCTACAGTATTCCAGGTGTGGCCTTACTAGGGTTTTATAAAGCGGTACTAATACCTCGTGTGATCTTGATTCCATGCAACCCAGGATTGTATTAGCTTTTTTGGATGCTGCTGCACGCTGCTGGCTCATGGTCAAGCGATCGTCCACTAGGACTGCGAGGTCCCTCTCACGGTTGCTGTTTTTGAGCCAGGTCTCACCTAATCTGTATGTGTACCTTTGGTTTTTCCTGCCTAAGTGTAAGAATGGGACAACTTGCTACAGCCAATTCACCATGGCCAACTCTTGCCGCGGGACAATTCCCCCGAGGAAACAATTCAACAATTCTATTTCATTACTTAAAATAAATAAATGAAAAATATGTGAATGTTTGCCATTCGCATTTCATTCTGTCCCTCCTTTTGCATCCTTCCTCTAGTTATTCTGTTCTGCCATTTCTTTGATAGTAGTGTAAGTCTTGTCCGGCCCCTGAATAGTCCCGCAATGACTTGGCTGTGGCAAAATGGCCGCCACGAATTGTCATAGACCAGGGGTAGGCAACCTCGGCTCTTTTATGACTCGTGGACTTCAACTCCCAGAATTCCTGAGCCAGCCATGCTGAGGGGAAAGGGAGAGGTTTCCAAGCTGAGCCAAGTTGGCTCAGGAATTCTGGGAGTTGAAGTCCACGAGTCATGAGGAGGCCAAAGTTTCCCCCATGCTGGCTCAGGAATTCTGGGAGTTGAAGTCCACGAGTCATGAGGAGGCCAAGGTTTCCCCCATGCTGGCTCAGGAATTCTGGGAGTTGACGTCCACGAGTCATGAGGGGGCCAAAGTTTTCCCCATGCTGGCTCAGGAATTCTGGGAATTGAAGTCCACGAGTCATGAGGGGGCCATAGTTCCCCCATGCTGGCTCAGGAATTCTGGGAGTTGAAGTCCACGAGTCATGAGGGGGCCAAAGTTTCCCCCATGCTGGCTCAGGAATTCTAGGAGTTGAAGTCCACGAGTCATAAAAGAGCCGAGGTTGCCTACCCCTTTCATAGACCCTTCCCAAAGCCCATGCTAAATTACTGGTCTTGATTTTGGCCAGGAAGGAAACCAACACAAATGACGTACAGGTAATCCTCAACTTGCAGCCGTTTGCTCAGCGACTGTTCAAAGTTACAACGGCGCTGAAAACAGTAACTTGTGAGTGGTCCTCGCACTTACAACCGTCGCAGTATTCCCCCCCCCCCTCATTCCCACGATCAAATTTCAATTTCAAGTGTTTACAATGGTTGCAGCGTCCTGGGGTCACACCATCGCCATTTGCGACCTTCCCAGCCGGCTTCCGTCAAGCAAAGTCAATGGGGGGGGGAGCTGGATCCATTTAACGACCGCGTGGCCGCTTAAGAACCACTGCGATTTGCTTAGCGTGGCAAAAAAGGTGGTCAAATTGGCCGCCACCCGCTTAACTTACTTAGCAACCCAAATTGTGGCCATTAAATCAAGAACCACCTGCCGTTTGTGTCTGTGGTATCACCAATGCCACGGACCCGGGAGAATTTGCACGGCCACGCACATGATGTGACTGAAGGCAAAAGATGGATTTGGCCTCCTGACACAAACGATGTAACCCGCCAGAAAGGAGATAAAATCCCTGAGAGGGAAGGGTTAATTTTCTTTTTTAAAAAAAGGCCTCTAGACTGGATTATGTTGGATGCAACAGATAGCTTGCTATTTTGCAGGGATGTCTAAAGAAGCTCCAGATAATTTCTGAATTATCTTATTATTCTGCATGGTAAGACAGGAAACCAGCCCTACTTCTATCTGATGCTTCCTAAACCGGTAATTGGGACAAGCGATGCTCATCAGCATTAATTAAAGATTCTGGGATGACACTTACTGGATCCTCCCCACCGCAAAATTTTTTTTTCCAGGGATAGCAGAGTGCCCTTGCAGAATCCTGCCCCTTCTGCTAGTTTTAACTCTTCAGTCTTTGGCGATTTATTTATTAATTCAATTTATATAGCCGCCCGTCTCGGGGTGCGATGCTGGACAAGTGCACGCCGATCAAACAAAACAACGATAACAAAGTCATTAAAAACCCTAATTAGAAAACGACTGCATGGGAAACCGGATCCTAAAAACAGGGAAATAACATTTCCAACTTCAAACGTTTGAAACACAGCAAGAGGCGACGCGAGGATAAATGTCTTCAAGAACCGGCAAACGTTAATATTTCCGTGGAAGCAAAGAACTTTTGACTGCCATCCCTTGAGCTGAAAACATTTTAATTTCTCTCTCTCCCCCCCCCCCACAAGCTGGCTGTTTAAATGGAATCACGAACTACCCTAACGAAGAGGAATTATTTCAGCAATGCAATGTTACCAGCCTTCGAAACCCGTCTCATGGCAGTTGAACTGAGGTTTATTTTTCCAAGGAAATGAGCTGAGAACTCCAGCGTTCTCAAGAACGTATCTTTAAAGATCTGAATGTCAGCCAGGGAAGAGGAGGAGGAGAAAAGAACAAAAACCCCAAAGAAAAAAAGAAAGAAGAATTTCCTCTGCTCCCTTTCCAGAGAAAGCAATAATTGGAGAGTACAAAGGCATCACCCAGTTGGCAAGCCTTCTGTCTCTAGAGCTGATTGATGGGAACCATGAATTCTTTGCGCTGTGTTTGTGTGTGTGTGTGTGTGTTCGCAGACGCATGTGTTGTCTAGGGATGTGCACAGCAAGGAAAAGTGTCTGGAAAGAGCTCTAGGGATCTGAAAGCACAGTTCGTGTTTCTTAAGGAAGAGCTACCACTAGTCTTTTCTACCCACTGAAGAAGACCACATTCTGAACCTTGGTTGAGTTTCCTCTTGGGCCATTCCTTGACAATATGGTTGGCTTCAAGACCCAGCCAAAGGTCTTTAGCACGTATTAGCCAACCCAGGTCTTGTTCATCATCTAGGACAATATGGTTGGCTTCAAGGCCAGCCAAAGGTCTTTAGCACGTATTAGCCAACCCAGGTCTTGTTCATCATCTAGGACAATATGGTTGGCTTCAAGACCAGCCAAAGGTCTTTAACAGGTAATAACCATCCCAGATCTTGTTCATCATCTAGAACAGGGGTGTCAAGTGTCGGCCCACGGGCCGGATGCATCATAGCAAAACCACGCCCACCCCATTGCCGGCAATGGCAAAAGTCACGATACGTCGCAACACGTCACGTGACGAGTTTGACATCCCTGATCTAGAACAATATGGTTGGCTTCAAGATTAGCCAAAGGTCTTTAACAGATAATAACCATCCCAGGTCTTGTTCATCATCTAGAACAATATGGTTGGCTTCAAGACCGTCCAAAAGTCTTTAGCAGGTAATAACCATCCTAAGTTCATTTTTTTGTACCCTCATCCATCTTTGGCAACACCTTTCAGAACATTCTCCACCATAGATTCTTCTCATCACCAAGACACTTCTAATTCTGGTGCACTGCTAGAAAAGCCCCCCAAGAGAAGACTTACATGTGTGATGGAACCCCGATACGTGATGGTAGACTCAGAGGGTGGCCTTGTGCTGGGAATCCCTTTAATGATGCTCACTCCTGGCAAGGAGGTACCTGCAGGATACAAGAAGAGGTGATAAGTTTCAAAAATCATTTGGTGGCTGTCAACAACCTGCTTATTCCAGGACATTTGGGACGGTAAAGGCAGCCTCAAACAGGTTTATGGGACAATTGAGCCCAGCACTGATTCTGCAGGTTGGGGAGCTTCTCCCAATGCCTTAGACCAGGGGCCTTCAAACTTGGCCCTTTTATGACTTGTGAACTGCAACTCCCAGAATTCCTCAGCCAGGCACGCTGGCTGAGGAATTCTGGGAGTTGAAGTCCACAAATCATAAAAGGGCCAAGTTTGAAGACCCCCTGACTTAGACACAAGGACTCTCCCATCACCTGCGACCTTCCTAAAACCAGACAGTTATGTCAATTATGAGTTCCATCACCAAAGGTTCTTGCCTGTGAAGCTTTGGGAGGTCCAGTGAGGCTTATCAACACCCAACCTTCACAAGTCTTTTTGGTTTGAAGAGGCTAAAGAGTGCAGAAGGCGACTGGTGTACCCCAGAGGTTCTAGACAATGCCTTCAAAGATATCTCTACCGAGCTTAGCTAGAGATTATGTCAGAAGAGAACCTTCTAGAGAAGCGTCTTGGCTTCTCCAGTTCAAGAGACTTACCTCGAAGAACTGAGCTTTCCTGTGAAGTCTGCACAACCAAGCTTTCAGGTTGACCAGCTTGGCCTCTAGGAGAAAGCTGCTCTTGTTTCACTGCAGAAAATGGCACTGGAAAACAAGAACATTACCACCTTTACTGTACCAGGAGCAGAAGAAATTGCTTGGATGATCAGCTGGTTTCAGCATGGCTACTGGTCCAACTGGGTCCTCTTGTGACTCTGAGAACCAGACCAGAATGAAGATCAGCTTACCCAACTTCTTGGGATCCATCGTCAAAGGCACAGTGATGGAACCGATGGAGACTTTTGCATGCTCTGGACTGAATGGACCATGGAGCTGTAGAGGTATCCCCTGAAAGATCCATCAAAGAGCATTAGTTATGGGGGGACGCCAACAACCAAAAGTATGGTAGCAACCACGCTCTTGAGCATGTTTCCTCGTTCCTCTTGATCTACTGGCCGTGGGACGGTCTCAGAAGGTTGGCTTATACATTTACCTGGGAGATACAGCCAGGTGTTCTTTCAAGAACAGAGGGATGCTTGTTAGAGATCAGAGGAGGAGGATTGGAGATGGCTGACAACCTTGGCGGGCCAGTTCGAGAACTTTCATGAGCGTTCAAGCAGACAGGATGAGCTGCTGTAGAGAGACAGAGGGAGAGATTGAGAGCTTAAAACAACGTGAGTCATATTTGAACTCAGTTCTTCTAAGAAAGATCTGCCTACTTCATTGTGAGAAACTTGGATTTTGAACTCACACAACCCCAAATAACTCATGACTGTCTGTAAACCCTGTGTCCCACTGGGCCAAAAAAACTAACGACTCTCATGGGATTGCTTTTGCAGTCCTAATTCTGCTGTTTCCCGCTTCTGTCCTGGATCTGGAATTTGGCAACACTTCAACCCAGTCTCCAAATTACAATCCATTGGGCATTGCCAACGCTGGACATTCAGACCAACATCCTAAGCGCCGAGGGCTGGACTCACCAGACGGGTTATACTGAAATGTGTGAGACTCGGCGTGTGGAGAGGTTCGGATAATGTCCCGTGAGGAGCCTTGGTAAGGAAGGACCGGTGGCCAACAGGTTGTAGTGGCGGATTCTCCACCTTGCTTCTGTCCATCTGGAAGGGGGGTGAAAAGCACCGGTTTTTCTACCAGGGGAGAGAATGGCTAAATTAGGAAGCTTGCATTTTTCAATGGATGGATGGATGGAGACAGGATGGGATTGAAGGATGGATGGATGGATATGGGCGGGATAGGATGGAAAAGAAGAATGGAAGGATAGATGGATGGATGGATGGATGGATGGATGGATGGATGGATGGATGGATGGATGGATGGATGGATGGATAGATAGATAGATAGATAGATAGATAGATAGATAGATAGATAGATAGATAGATAGATAGATAGATAGATAGATAGATAGATAGATAGACAGACAGACAGACAGACAGACAGACAGATAGATAGATAGATAGATAATTTCTCTATCTATCTCTATCACTATCATGTATGGAAGAATAGATAGATAGATGGGATGGAAGAATGGATGGGGTGATATATAGGAATGGATGGATGGAATGAGATGGGATGGGATAGGATGGAACAGATAGATACTGTAGCTAGCTAGAGAGAGAGGGAAAGAGAGACAGAAAGATGATTGGGGGAAGGGAGGGAGAGATAGAGATAGAGATGATAGATATTAAAGGTAATGATAGAAAGGGATGATAGATAGATAGATAGATAGATAGATAGATAGATAGATAGATAGATAGATAGATAGATAGATAGATAGATAGATAGATAGATAGATAGATAGATAGATAGATAGATAGATAGATAGATAGATCAGGGTTCTTCAGACTTGGCCCTTTTATGACTTGTGGACTTCAACTCCCAGAATTCCTCAGCCAGCATGCCTGGCTGAGACATTCTGGGAGTTGAAGTCATAAAAGGGCCAAGTTTGAAGAACCCTGAGATAGATAGATAGATAGATAGATAGATAGATAGATAGATAGATAGATAGATAGATAGATAGATAGATAGATAGATAGATAGATAGATAGATAGATATAGAGACGGAGATGTAGAAAGAGAGAGAGAGAGAGAGAGAGAGAGACAGACAGACAGACACAGACAGACAGATCTATCTTTGAGGGAGTCTTGACTCCTGGGAATCCCATGGACGTATCCATGCAGTCAGGTTCTTGGCAACCTTTTCAGAACTAGCTTCCCATTACTACTTTTCCGAGGGCTGAGCGAGAGGAAATGGGTTTTCACCCAGCTGGCTTCGTGCCCAAGGGCAGCTCTGGAGACTCACCCGTCCCCTCGCTTCCAGTCCACACCTTCTTAACCACCCCACCAAAGTGGAGACGCAAAACATCCCCAGGAGAAAGTGAGGGCGAGAGAAGAAGCCCCAAACAACATCTGCGTCTGGCCGAGCACCTCCTTCTGTTCTGGGAAGGCTGCCTTGTGTTTTGGAGCAGAGGACCCTCCATTGTGTTGACCTTTAGCCTTCAGGATTTACAGCCTGAACTTGGCTTTTCTGCTGCCGCTGCTTCCCAAGGACAGCGGGAGAGAAGACAGGTTGATAAAGCGCAGAGCTTAGAGGCAGACATCTGCAGGAAAAAAAAAATCTCTAGCGGGGACTCGTTTTTCTTGGTAATTCCTTCCCTAGACACAAGAGAGCCTCCATGTCTGCTGCAGAGATGGTTAAGGCCAGGCCCAGGCAGGGCGATGGAAATGGGGGCCTCTTTGGATGAAGGAAGTCCTTCCAGCCCCAACCGGGGAAGAAAGACCCTGCTCTGAAGCTTCAACCGTGGTTTGATTTCATTCTGGTTCTCCTCTCCCCCTTCCCTTCCCACGCCCATTAAAAAAAGAGAGAGCCATAACTCAAAGCCCTTCTGGATACGCTCACACTTTATCCCCAGAAAGAAGGTTAACGCTGCCGTTTATCAAAGCCCTGGAACTGGAGCAAGGGAGACGTGGGTTTATGCGATCTGTCATCCAAATGGATTGTCTTGGCCGGGCAGCCCTGCTCCGAAGGCCAAGTGGAAACGGGGTGGCTAAATCAATAGGAAGTGCACGGCTTGCGCCGGAGCTACGTGCCCCAAAGAGAAGCAAGGGCAACTGTCCCAGATCTGCCCACTCCTTGTTGCATGAGGAGGAGGAGGAAGAGGAGCAGAGGAGGAGGAGGAGGAAGAGGAGCAGAGGAGGAGGAGGAGGAGGAGGAAGAGGAGCAGAGGAGGAGGAGGAGGAGGAGGAAACAATACACGAGGGTACAGGTCCCGAACCATCTTCCAAGTCTGAAAGTACAAATCTCATACTCTCTTTTTACTGCCTGATAAGCTAAGAGTTCCTTCCTTCCTTCCTTCCTTCTTCCCCTCTCCTTTTCCCTTCTTCCCCTATCTCTTTACTTTCTTCCTTTTTCACCCTTCCTTCTTTGTTTTAACTTCTTTCCTTTCCTCCTCCACTAATTTTCCTTTCTTTCCTTCCTTCCCTCCACTAATTTTCCTTCCTTCCTTCCTTCCTTCCTTCCTTCCTTCCTTCCTTCCTTCCCCATCTCTTTACTTTCTTCCTTTTTCACCCTTCCTTCTTTGTTCTAACTTCTTTCCTCTCTCCCTCCACTAATTTTCCTTCCTTCCTTCCTTTCCTTCCTTCCTTATCTCTTTACTTTCTTCCTTTTTCACCCTTCCTTTTTTGTTCTAACCTCTTTCCTCTC